GAGGGGGGATTATATTATTTTGAATGCTAAATTCTTCTTCTTCTTCATTGGGGGGTATATTAATTTGAATACAAAGTATCTCTCCTTTTCTTTTCTCTTCTTCTTCTTCTTCTTCTCCTCCTCCTCCTCCTCCTCATTCTTTCTCTTTCTCAATAAAATGGAAGTGCACAAGAGAACTAAACGTCGCCCAGGTTGCCAGCATATTGGAGAGAAAAATATTAAAAGAAACCAGAGTTAATAAGAGAGACCCAATTGGTAGACATAACTCAAACAATAAAGATTAAGGGCAGTGGTCACTAATCTCCTCCAGCTATGCCTGTGTGGTCCCTGAGGATAATCTGGAGAGTAATTATTTAAAGGTTTCTTCCAGAGCAATGAAATTACTGTAGAATTTAGCCCAAATCCCATTAAAAGAAGAGACGAATTTCTTTAGAAGAACGCCAAGACAAACGCCAGAGCTTCGACTCGCTTGAAAATAAAACCAAGATGCAAACTGCGATTTGCAAAATACCACCATGGAAATGACCCTCCATTGATACCCGTGTTTGATACTTTAATTGTAATACTGTAAGCGACTATGCCAATGCGCTGTTTGCTGATGAAACTGGATCAATTCAGCCCCTGGGAAAACCTATTTACTGAATTAGCCGCGTGGCCCAAGGTAGCGCGTATGTTCGGTTCGAAATGCCTTCAACATTGCACATGGAAAATATTATTTAGAAATCCACTTCATAATCCAAAAGCCTAGTGTTAAGGCGACTGAAGAATAAAAGGAAATTTCAAAAGTATCCCTACTTATTTGGAGCTTTACTCTCTTGCGATATTCCCTCTCTTATAACACTTGCTGGTATATAAATTGGTGTCTATCTACATTTTGGACCAGGCTCAAACCAATGTTGTTATAGGAATATTTCGAGCTAAATTACTGTATATCCAGGGCCTCTCCAGATTCAGAACCGCACTCTCCTTGCAGGACATTAATCGTTCTAGCAGCCATGTGACTTATTGTTTCATCTTTTGCAAAAGACATAAGAGCCCAAGTGCGGATGCTCACACACACACACACACACACACACACACACACACACACACATCTTTTTCCTTTTTTGGTTTGAGAAGTGCAAGGGGGGAAATCTTCAACCCACGAAAAATTCTGAGTCTCAAGATTTGAGAATGGGAGAACAATAAATGCCACTCAGATTCAGTCATATCGGTTAGCCAGTGGTGACTGAATACTCGGTCGTTATGTTCTTCCCTTATTATAAATCATGGAATATTTTGAATTGATTGAAGATTTTGAATAGACTGAATATTTTCCTGCAATTCCTAAATGCATTCGTAGCTTCTTCTCCAATAAGTCTGTATTTTGTAAAAACACTTTGAAACTGTTCCAAAAGCTTTTGTGGGGGGTGTGAGGAAGGAACCCATGTATTATTTGTATTGGTCGCTTGATTTTATGTTGTGGGAAAGGCTGAATTACCTTTGGTAAATAAAAGTATGCGCACCCTGCGATGGCAGCTGCCAACCGTACTCAGGCTCCGAGCACGCCCGTCACTACTACCCGTCCTCTTGTACGAGGAAATGAAAGGCAAACTAAAGGGTGCACAAAAGACAAAAAAAGGGAAAAAAGAAAAGAAAAGAAAAAAAGGGCGGGGGGAGACAGGGGGAAAAGGGGCAGAAGTTTCCTGCTAGAGTCTTTTCGGATTGTAATAAGAGTACCACTAACACTGGGTCGCCAACTAGCATTTTAATTGGAAGCATATGCCTGACTCTGCACCTAGATAGCCAGGGTAGCAATTAAAACAGATGTACTCCGAAATGCAAAAGGCACGGCTAAAGGACATACCTAGATAAAACGAGTGACGGCAGATGTGCACCTCTGCCTCAGATGTGGAAAGTGCTGGATAATCATCATGATGGTGATAGTAATGGTGGCAATAGTCATTGCTGTCCCCGTAGTAATAGTCATTGCTGTCCCCGCAGTAATAATGGTGATGGTAATGACGATGAGAATGGTAATAACGGTAGTAATATAGTAGCAGCAGTAAGGGTAATAAAGATGGGGACAGTAATGATCACAATAACAGTGGTGCTGGAGGGGTGAGGCAGGGCTGGGGGAGGCCCGGGGGCTGCGGGTCGGAGGTCCCGCGGGCCGTGAGCTGCCCTGGCCGGCTCGCCGCCCCGCCCCCGCTCCGCGTTTCAATATTTCCAGAGTTATCATAATCCTGGTGGGCCGCGGGCGAGCGGCGGGAGGCGGCGCTGCCATTGCCGGCTTTGAAGAACCTGTCTGCAAAGTTTCGTCCAATCGGTTGGGGCGCCCCGCTTCTCCCCGCGCGTAACTAAATACCGCCGCGAGAGCCACCGCCGCGCTTTGTCGGAGATGTGCGAGCGCGGTCTGTGCAGGTCGGGCTACGTGGGCTCCCTCCTCAACCTGCCGGCTCCGGACTCCTTCCACTTCCCCAGCCTGCGGGCCAATGGAGGCCAGCTGGCTGCTCTGCCCTCCCTGCCCTACCCGCGGAGCTCGCTGCCCTGGACCTGCCCGTGCACGTGCGCAGCCCAGCCCCAGCCCCAGCCCCAGCCTCAGCCCCAGCCCCACGCCCTCGGCGGCCCCTCGCAGTCCTACCCCCCCCGCGGCGGCAAGGCGGGG